GTTTAACATAACCGCTTGACTGCTTTGTGAAGTCTAATGGTTTTTGTCACTCTATCGGAGTTCAATGTATTTCTCAGTAACTCTGAGTTATTAGATTGTCCATTGCACTGACATAATAGGGACATCCTGATCAATACGTCCACACTTTCTTGTTAACACGCTGCACACTTTTCCTGCACTTCGCTGCACTCCTGATGCCAATCGTAGGCAGTAAAAATGTCTTTGTAATGAACTCTCACATCTGGAGTGAGTTTTATAGGCTAGCTTGGCCTTTTTAACAGAAGAATTTTCATTTCCCCATCTCTAACACATTAACAGACAAAAAAGAGCATTTTGTGAAATGTATGATACAAGAAGATAACATCTGATACCCACCCACCACCATGCCTTGCAGTCATACAGACTCGCTTCAAAAACAGTTTACCTCACATTTTGTTCCCTTTGCTGTTCCTATTTTTGATGAGCCCAGCTGTACGTGCCCCTGTGCACACTGAGCAATGAATGCTGGAAGCCATTGTGTTCTTTTGGCTGGCATAGCAGCTCACATCAGTGACATTAAGGCTTCATTCTATCGCTGTGTCTTCAGGCCATTTCCAAAATAAAGATATATTCTTGTGATTTTTGAGACTTCTTTGGTGATATATTGAGACAGGAAGACAAAGTTCAAATAATGCAGCGCTGCTTCGATGTCTTGCAGCTTCAGCAGAACAAAACTTGTACAAAAATCCAGAAATATTTTTAAAAAATGAAAGTGAATGAAAACTGCATTGGTGTTTCAGGCTTTTTTTAATGTACACTGCAGAAATGTGTACATGTGGCTTGTATTGATTTTGGAGTTATACTGTACATGCACAGACCAATACATTCCTCATTCAGCTGGTTATTTTTAAATTCAAAAGGTGTCATACAAAGTATTCAATAGAGTTTAATAGAGTTCAAAATAGCTGCTCGCGGCAGCTTTCCTTTCTGTCATTGGACGGTGCAGGAGTATAAATTGAAATGGGAGTGTGTGTGCTTCACATGTGCCTCCCAGTTCAATTAGAAGGCTCATCACACAAGGGAAGCTTCTGTGAACGTCAGGGCGCGTGGAAGACTGTGAGTACAGCTCTTGTCTCTATGGCAGCTTAGTTAGTCACAAAAAAGCAGCTGAAACAGTTTTTCACCCTCTCGAAACCTGTTGGTTTTTATTACATGTGAGAAATGACACTGATGTCAATGCTGCAATTTTAAGTTTAAATTAAGTTTAAGTAAGTTTATGTTATTTGTTTTCATTCTGGATCTAGATTGCAGTAATCTAGAATAGATCTATGAATTTGTAATCACTGAATGTATATTATAACAGGCATTCTCAGATTTTATAGATGCAAATATGAAGTATTGCTGTGTTCCTGTTATTATGCACACTTTGAATATGATAGAAAAATAAGCAAGACTGAAAGCACAAACCTCCACTAAGGCAGCTCACTCTCTTGGGGTCAACTTCAAAGACAGGCAGATGTGAAATGTAAACGTGAGGTCGGAGGTCAAATGTGACATGACATTTGGATACAAACTGTAATGTAAGAATCCCCATCATATACCAGTTTCATTTCCTTTATTCTGCCAACGCAAACAAAGGCAACAGAATTTTAAGCATAGTCTAAGAGAAAGTTTTATCAAAGTTTTACCTTATTTGGCCTTGAAGAAGTCAGAGGTCCAAAGTAATGTGATATTTAGAATCCTCATATATCATTCACTACATACCAATACATTATCAGTACAAACAATGACAATAAGAAATATAGTTTAAATAGATCATTATTATCACATTGAAGCAAAGGTTAGAGGTTAAATGTGACATAACATTTTAAATCTTTCTATGGTACAATAAACACCACAATTTTGTTTCTAAGTTATAAGGTTTTTAGTCAATTCTTGACTAATAAATCATTACATTGACCTTGAAGAATTGGTGGATGTAAGCCAAATTGTAACCCCTTAGCAGTCCAATTAGTCCCCTAAACCATCCAATGTACCGTGGGCGGTAGGTCCGACTGCTAACAGGTTAATGGACTGCTGACATATCCTACTCTACACCCCTACAATGTTTTATCACAATTCATTGAAAAACCTTTCACATTTATATTAGCAGAGGTAATAATGTGATCAAAGCAGAGGGATTTATATTGTAAAGTTGTAAATAAAGCAAATATTTTCCCAGGAACAGAGTTTGTGCAAGTTTCTGAGGACTCCTGATTGCATTGCCAGCTGATGGAAAAAAATTCAGACCTGTACATCCTCATCAGAACACCAGGGAGATCATAAGTCACAAGGCAGAAATGTGTGATCATCAAGAAAAAGAGCACAAGCACAGAAGACCAGCCGGCTCCAAAGGTCCACATGTGAAGCACCACCATCAAAATCAAGGCCATCAGCGTCACAATAATAAACAAAGGTCAGATGGCAACGATAGTCATGAGTAAGTCCATCCTTTTTCTAACTGTATGTTAACAGTAATTATTTAAGCATTTCATATAGATTTTGTTTTTATTTTTACAAAATTAATCACACATTAATTAGACCTCACATTAATCATGTGAGGTCTTTTCCATTATCAGTGATGAGAAGTAACCTTTTCACCAATCACGTCATATGCTATCAGAATAGAATTTTTGCTTCTTCTTAAAATTGTCTTGGGGGAATGAATCTCTGGGGTTGGTTGGTAGTTAGGCTAACCAAGTATCAGAATTAATTTACTGTAGACACTGTGCCCTTTAACACCCATGTTTTCTTTTTGAAATAGCACTCATTCTACAGCAGAGGAGAGCATTTTGAGTGATCATCATACCAACCGTCAACATCAGTCCGAATCTCACCATTACCACCACAAGCAAAACCATCGTCATGTTTCTCTTTCACAAACTTCCTCAAGTTCCTCAAGCCATTCTTCTTCATCCTCATCCTCATCCTCTTCATCTTCATCGACATCCTCATCTTCCTCTTTGTCCTCCTCCTCTTCTTCTTCCTCCTCCCCTTCCTCTTTCTCTTCCTCTTCTACAACATCTTCCTCTTCTTCTAGTCTGTCTTCTGAGAACAGCAGCAGAAGTGACACTTCAGATAGCAATCCTTTCAGGAAGCCACAGCATTCACAATCCTGGACTGATATCTCTGGAAAACACAAGTACTTTGATGAAGGAGATGATATGGCTCCTTTGATAAATAAACCAGCTAATCTAAATGAGCTGCCCAACAAACAGAAACAAGAGAAAAGCAAGTCCTCTCGTTGTGGCCCCAAAAAGGGAACCTCAAAAAGCCCTAAGAAAATTGCAAGAAGCTATGAAAATGATGGAAGTTTCCGCAAGGCCAAATCAATGGAGGCTCTCACCACACCCAAAGACAAAGGACATGGAAATGAGGATGAAAATGAATCGGAGAAGAGGAAAAATGAAGCCAGGAAGAATTTAATGAAAGAAAAAATGAAGTTCTCTGCTTTTCTTAATGAGATTACTCGGCAGGTGCTCAGCCCAATGAGGCTAACCACTCTTGGCGTGACAGATGCGCAACGACCCTGCAGTCCAGGGCAGGCCTCTCTTAGATCCAGGAAGGCGGACAGCAGGACTGACAAACCTAGACAGCAAAGAAGCCGGCCCACCAGTGCGGACTCAATTAGCTCCAGCAAATATTCACACTCTTCGCAGTTGTCTCAGTCTAAATCTTTCCACGGTGAAAGTCGCTATTTTGAAGAGTCACCCCATCACATGCATCATAGGCCAAAAAGCTGCACAGAATTCAGCTGTTTTAGAAGACGTCACTCATGGTCTCAGTCTCCTGAGCGTCACTCCCATTCTTTTAAGCACTACCATAACCACCACAAAGGAGACCATGAGACTTCTAGTCACCATCACCATCATCATTACCATGGAAATAGCCCAAGTCCTCACCATCATCACAGAAAGGACCACAGTCCTGTTTATCCCCATGGAGATTCACATAGCCATACCTACCACAACAAAGATCACCACTCTGCATCACATCACCATTACCGTGGGCAACATCGACATAGAGAACCCTATAGCCCATCCCATCATCATAGTAATGCACACCATCACCACCATGGCAAGCAATACGGTCATGTTCATCACCATCACCATCATCATGTAGACCACAATAGCCAAGGCCATCACCAAGGAGACCATGATAGTCCAGACCATCACCATCATCACAAAGACCACCATAGTCCAGACCATCACCATCATCACAGAGACCACCATAGTCCAGACCA